ATATGTTTCATTATACTGTGTTTAGTTTTTTGTGGTGGGTGTGGTATTGTTATTTTTAACCCTTATTTGTTTCGAATTTTTGAGGGTTTGTTTATGTATTTGATATAAAGTTTAAAATACAAAAAATAAGTGTGCAAAGAATTTTTGGATAAAGAGAAAGTGCCGTCATTCAGTTTTATGTAAAATGTAAATCCTGTGACATTCTTTGGGTTATATTGTATTGTGTTTAGGGTGCAATTTTTTTATGTAAGAAAACCCCTTATTTGAAGCCGTGGGCTGTCTTTAGTTTAGTTCTTATGTATAAGTTTAGTGCTAAGGTAGGAAATGTGGAGTTTTATTTTGTTATATATAATGGATACGTTTCTTGATAGTTGTGACAGAACCCACAGGCATAACACCAGAAACAAACATCTCTACGACATTCCCCGTGTCCGACTAAACCTTTACAAAAAATTCAATGTATGTCAAAGGCCCTAAAATCTGGAATACCCTACCTGAGAACTCTAGAACTGCAGACACCTTCATCACCTTCAAAACTACCATTAGAAAACATCTTATCTCCCTGATACACCCCGTCAACTAACTACACGAATACCACCTGGTGGTTCACACTTACACTCGCTCACTCATTTGACCATAAACAGAAATATTAATCTCAGTCTTAAAATAATGAATCCTGTGATACTCCAATACTGAAACTATATACTGTGCCAAAACAAAAGCATTCACATTGCTAAACTCACAAACTAGTATTTAGTCACTTAGCCATAATACCAACTTACCTCATAATTTGTAATATTTTACAATTAAGAATAAAACTAAGTATGCCCGAAATGCCTAGCCATGCTAAGCGTTCTAGTGGTACACTCTGTAATCACAATTTTACTACATGTAAACCAAACAATAACCAAATTTCTGTAAACTCAGCATTGTAATCCTTATAGAGAATAAACTTTGAATTTGAATTGCTTACATTGTCTACATGTATAATTGTGTATTGCGTTTTTCAATAAAATATAAAAAAAAAATTCAAGGAATTGAAGCTACCGTCCCTTCCATCAAATCTAGTTCCCTTCCAGTCCCAGGTACTGTGAAATAAGTAATTACTATACAATTACTACTACTAATGCTCAGTGAAGCTGCAAATAGTTGAATCCAAACTGTTCTAGAATGGTTGATAATATGCTTTGACATTTCTTGAGTACTTAGGAGTGAATTATCTGTTGAGTTCATTCATTATTTGTTTCGTTATTCAGCACATAATTAGGCCGGGTGTGACACTAGTTCCTCTGGCAAAGTTTATATTTGGTTATGTCTACATAAGAGGAACTTGTAACCCAACCGAAGCCAGGCAGCAGGAACGTCAGCGACTGATGATTTTATTGTTATACACAAAAGTAGTTGCTGATTTTATTGTCGAAGTTCTTCCTTAGTTTGTAGTTATGGCGTCTTGTAAGTAAGATTGTTTAGGCACAGGCACACACAAGTACAATTATCATGTATTGTGTAAGTTACCTAGGATAACCCCAAAATAGTCAGTGACTGTTATTTGGGTCCTTGTGACATTTGATAGTGCATATGAAGAAGTTTCATTGTCAGTTGTTTAGTATGCTTATTATAGACCTCTGTCTGTGACAGTTACAAAACTGATCTTAATTCAAAAGCGAAAATTTTCAGTAATCTTCAAATTAATCGAACTTTGTATGCAAGTGCGTGGACCCTCAAGGGACGTTCCTTGATGTGGTGAGGGGCCCTTGCTAGGGATTTGGATCTGTGTTCCACTTCCTTAGAATTAATCTTGAATGCCTTCCATCCCCCCCCCACAGGTGCGTATAATCCCTCTGGGTTATCACTCCCCTACATAATAATACTGGTGTGGTAAATCGTGCTGAATAAGCACTTCACCACCAGTATATGAAATGGTTATAACCATAACCGTAATTTTTTGAGGGGGGTGGAGGGGTAAGCCAGTGGGAAGGCCTCGGTCAGATGACAAAAGCTCCAGCTACGCTTCTTCATATGACTAAGATCCCGTCAGGAAAGAGTTGTCCTGTTTCCTGATATATCTTACCTGATCTAACACCGCAGAAACTAGCAATTTTAATTACTAAAAGTTTTCGAAGTGCGAAAGATAATGTCTGTTGGAATGTGTGTGAATTTTTATTGATAAGATAATTTATAAATAGCTCAAGATACTTCATTAATGTTAATTTTTATCATAAAATCTATATGTCATGGGGACTGAATCTTTTCGTCCATTTTCCATTACCGCAGTTTATCTACTTTTCAATTATTATCCATTTATCAGTTCTTTTACTCAACTTCAATCTTTTTATTTTAAGGTTTTAATGAGCTGATTGCCTATTTACACATTAAATTCTATCATACATTTTACTCCTTCATTTTGGTAAAAAAATCACTGCTTGGCTTTCTTCCCTTTTCCTATTATTCCTCTGGGGAAAGGGGGGGGCTCTTCTTTCTTGTTTCTTCTTGAAATTTTACAGTCAGTAACATTGGAATTTCTTCCACACAGTTGATGACTGGCGTGTCTTGCCACAAGGTGAGCCACAGAATTTGGAATCTCAGAACAAGAACGACAAAATAATTCATTTTCGGCTGGGAAAGGAAGCAATCTTGCCTCAACAGAGGTCAAACTGACAGGAAGGCGGGTCACACTCTGGAGCAGAGGTCACAGCGATGGTGAAAACAGTGTCTTCAGCACCGGGTCGGCAGAGCAAGGGAGTTGACAGTGTCGGACTTGCTAGCTTTTAAGATCAAAGGAGGAGAGCTCACACAATCAAATAAATTCCTTGCCAGAGCCATCACGACAGGACTAAAGGACGACTTTTCAGCAGGGGTATTCCCGAAAATTTTTTTTTTGAAAAAAAAAAAAA